CCAATCGCTCGGTGCCGTCAGTGGGTGCAAGCAGTGGCTGCCGGCCTCAATTGCCCCTGAGGGCTTCTCCACCTTCTCCTGCTCCTGAGGGGCGATTGGGGATGCAGCCACCGCTTGTACCCACTGACAGTGCCAACCCCGCACACACCTGCTGCTGGCACCGGCCCCAATTGCTCCACTCTGTCAGTGGGTGTGAGCAGGGCCGGCACCGTCAGCATGTGGGAATGGCGTCAGCAGAATCAGGGCTACTGGCAGACAGAGGACCGGAGGCTGCAGCAGGAGGGGCCGGGCAGGGGTGCAGAGGATGGGCAGAGACCTGCCCCTGTGCCCACCGCAGCCTCATGGGCAACAGTTCCTTTCAAAGGTGCAAGAATTAGTGCACTGGGCCCCTAGTCTACACTAATAAAAGAGAAAAATGGTAATTAGCGTACGACCCCTACCCTTCCCATTGGCTAATCAGCATATCCTTATGCAAATCAACTGCCAACAAAGATGGCAGCTAATTTGCATACGCCCAATGATGCGAGGCGAAAGGGGAAGGACTGCAGAATGCTGATCGGCAACCCAGGCCGCAGGCAAGAGCTAGGGAGTGGGCAAAGGCCGCCTTTCCCCACACCCCAGCCGGTGATCGCCATTGGAAAGCCGGGCAGCAAACCCGACCCTGGGGCTGGGGTTGCCAGCTGGCCTGTGCCGAGCAATGGTGGTGATCAGAGGCGTGAGGGCTGGGGCGCAGGCCATGGCGATCGTAGGACGGGAGGGGCCAGGCGCAGGCCAGGCGGCAACCCCGGACCCCACTGGGGCTAGGGTTGCCGGCTGGCCTGCGCCCAGGATCCCCATGGCATCGGAGGGCGGAGGGCCCGGGCGCAGGCCAGGCGGCAACCCTGGACCCCACTGGGGCCGGGGTTGCCGGCTGGCCTGCTCGGAGCGATCCCCATAGGATCTGAGCCTGACCAGGGGCTGCATCTAGGGATTGGGCGTGCCCTCTGCCACCTGGGAGCAGGCCTAAGCCAGCAGGTCGTTATCTCCCGAGGGGTCCCAGACTGGGAGAGGGCACAGGCTGGGCTGGGGGACCCCCCTGCCCCCCCCCCCCCACAGTGCGCAAATTTTTGTGCACCGGGCCTCTAGTCTCTATATATATAAAAGGCTAAGTGGCTATTTGACTGCCTGACCGGCTGGTAGGTATGACGTGCATTAACCACCAGGGAGCAGACGCTCAACGCAGGAGCTGCTGATCTGTGGTGATTTGGCAGCGGCAGTTCTCCAGTGACGCACCCCGGAACCAGAGAGGAGGGAGCCAAATTCTAGGTGTGTCACCCGAGAACCACCCCCTCGCAATCCGGGACCCCTTGGGGGATGTCAGAGAGCCAGTTTCAGCCCGATCCCCGCAGGCCAGGCTGAGGGACCCCACCTGCCAGATGGACCTTGTTCACTCTGCAGACGGCCTTCAAGCTGCGGTGCTGCCCCAGGTGTGCCCAGCCTGGGAGGGACTGTGGGTCCAGCCAGTCTCACCCAGTCTCACCCCGCCAGCTACCTTCTAATTAATTTCCTTTCAATGTGCATGAATCCATGCATCAGGGCACTAGGATGCATATACAAGCTGATAAATTAGAGCTTTGAAATATCATTAGAAATTCTGAGATTCTCTCTACTCAAAACACTCCCCCCCCCCCCCCGCCCAAATAAATAGCAACGTTTCCATTCATTGCCCTTAGGATGGTTAAGTATTTCTGAGGATAAAGAGTTTTATAACCAAACTTATTGGTATATTTTTTCTTAATGTTATAAGTTACCAAGATTGATTTTTTAAAGTACATTTGGAGGTTTTGTTCACTGTATTCCAACCCAAACATTAGCTTTAAATGTAAGTCAAATTCTTTGTTGATAGAAGCGATGCTTACCTAACCTATTTTGCTATTTCATACAATTTGATTTATCTTAAAAGTCAGATATTGTCTATGATTCATACAAAGGCATTGTATTTAAAATGTGCAGAATACATTGCATGCAGCAAAATTAACGATTCGAATCTGGAGATCAAAACTCCTTTGTGCTTCTATGATCCTTTCTTTATCAAGCTACACAAAACAGTGCTGCTAACCTGCTAAACAGTGTGGGGATGCGCACCTTGTTTTACCAAAGAGGATCTTGATCTTTCCTCCAGTTTGTCCACATCTCTTATAAGAATGTCAGCAGGAACTTTACTGTTTCTAGACTAATGGCATAGGAAATAGAAATATTACAACTGCTACTCTGCATGTGGTAATCATTTTGAAAAACTGCAGTTTAGATACTTACATTGAGCATTCATAGCACTCTATACTGTATTAAACAATAAGAATATCTTTAGGGTTGTATTAACTTTTCAATAAAAAGCACAGTGAAAATAAAGAACATGGTTTGATTTATTTTATACTAATAGGTGTTGAATATATGAAGCAGATGTTGGTTCTCATACTTAACATATTATATTTAACAGAATTGGCTTCAACTATCCCAAAGCTGTTTATTCTTTTTCTAGACGTCTCCAGATTTTTGACATGTCACTATTGCAATCAGGACTCACCCACTGATTTCATTCAATTAACAGGCAGCAGCTGAAGGCACTTGTTTAGTTCCTCAAATTCTGTGATCAGATAGTTTTAGGAAACTTCTAATGTTCTCTTGCCCTAATTGCTCCAGGAAGGCCACTAATAGTACGTGTTTATTAGCTTCTTTGATGTGTTATCATAGAAATTATTCATCTAGGCCTACAAAGCCTTTTTCTTTTATATTTCTGATTACCCAATTTATATACATAGACTTTATAATAAATTGATTTGGATGCTGGCAATGGTTGATACAAACCATGAATAATTTGATGATACAGTTAAAACATCTTAATTCCATTTTCAAAAAGTCTACTCATTTAAATACAAAGTAAGGTTAATATAATCCTAGGACTTATTGTAATGAAAATTTAAAATGAGTTGTTTATTCAAAGTTGTTTATAACTTCAGAAAAGTAAGTTTTTAAAAAGTAATAGTACTTAACACTAAAAAATTAAATTCAATTTTTCTAATTAAAAAAATAGAATTATGTATAAGTGAATGAAGAAAAGTAAAACCATTCATATTTATTGAGCCAAATGATGTGAGTATATCTAATAAAATTTTATTTTACATACTAGTGACTAAAGGTTAGGACAAATATAAATATTACTTTCAGCTTCCATTAATGAATAATTATAAATAAAAATTTTATAATATAAATAAAAATGCTGCCATTCAACATAATAAATATATATAATCACACAAGAATATGTATTACTGGAATTCCAAAATTATGTTCAATAACTTATTCCAATGAACACAAGGTTTCTTTCTTAAAACAGAGAGCATTTCCTAGAATGTATTTCCAACATGATGTTTTATATAGATAAGTTGTGGAATGCATAAATACTTAAATAGCCTACTATTTCCTAAACACTTCTCATGTTTTTTATGTAGAGAGTAATACCATAGTTTGATCAAATTTAGTATTTCTATTTAACACCATCTTTTGTTTAGTGTCAATTTGTGAGTTAAACCTTTACTGTATATATGACCAATTTTAATAAAATGATTTTCTTATTTTGAAGCAAAGTTTCTTTAATACAATGCCCTCTTAGGGTACATAGAATTAAGTTACCATAATTGACAGATATGTATAAACTAGATTTAAGGCCTTGAAATAGTATAATATTCATCATCATCACAATTATTATTACCACCTTCAATGTTTTTATTAATGTTTACTGAGTACTTATTATCGTCTAGAAATTGTCATTACTATTTACGATGCTTTAATTCATGTAATTCCACAATAACTTTTAAATCAATTGCTGTGATTGTCTTCAATGATAATATTGATAAGCAAATATGGTAAATAAATTATCACTTATTATCAATGATATGGTCACTTGGAGAATAATTTGTGAACTAAGACCTCAGAAAAGCCCATACTATTAATCACTTGGATACCCAGACCTGTAATCTGACCATCTACACTACTTCTAAACAAATGTACTAAATTAAATTATCACTATGGAACATTCAATAATAAATTAATGGGTATTAGAGAAGCATAACCAAGCTCTATCTGCTTTGCATCACTACTTACATGTCAGTTATAATCAGAAAAAGTCAAGACATTAACGTATGAAGGAATTTGTACACACACAATCCTTCACTAAATCACATATCCAAAAATTAAAAAGACTAAAGGCAAAATTAGTAATTAAATAAACAAGTTATTTAGGTTTAAAATCATAGCAATGATTACATTATCTGAATTTTTTGATAAAGTTATTTATCTAATGAAATAATTTCATTTTAAAATGATACTTATAATTCTCTATCATAATATTTAAATAATTATACATTGTCAGTCCACAGATAGTGTTTTCCTACCTTATAAATTATGCATTTATTATAAATCTATTTAACATCATCATTAGAAATCAGTTTAATATATATATCTATATCTAAGTGACTGTTACGGTGGAAAGACTGGAATGACCGGTCGCTATGATGCGCACTGACCACCAGCAGGCAGACGTTCAATGCAGGAGCTGCCCCCTGGTGGTCAGTGCACTCTCACAGCGGGGGTGCAGGTCAGCCAGAAGCTGGGCTCAAGGCTGGTGAGCGCAGCTGCCACAGCAGGAGCCTCTCCCAACTCCGCAGCAGCACTACCAAGCAGCGGCAGCAGGCACAGCAGACTGGGATGAGCACGAGTGGTGCAGCGCCCGGCCCTGATTCGGGCTTCTCCCTGGCTGCCTGCCACTTGGCGCACTGCTACCTTATACATCCCCTGAGGAATCCCAGACTGTGAGCGGGATATCTGACTGCTGGCTTAGGCCTGATCCTGGTGCCGTTCTCTGTAGAAGGCAGTCATTCTGAACAACTCAGTGACTCAGGGAAGTACAGGGAACTCAGGGTGAGCCTGCCTCCGTGCTTGACTCACCCACTTGATGGTGTTTGCAGGACAGACTGTGGTGGCCCAGCCCATGCACGTGCAGCAGCTGCTGAAGCTCAAGCAGCAGGCCGTGCAGAAGCAGAAGGCCATCCTGCCACAAGCGGCAGTTGGACATTTCCCAAGGGGTCCCGGACTGTGAAAGAGTGCAGGCTGGGCTGAGGAATCCCCCCTACAACCACCACCATGCACAAAGTTTGTGCACCAGGCCTCTAGTATTATATAAAATCAAAATACCCTTCAGTAAACTATACTCCCTAAAGTAATTTGTTTATAATTATTTAAGTACAATTGCTAATGGTTCATGCAATTTATTTCCCCACATTTTAAATAGAACAGTGCTTGTTTTGATTTAAATAGCATAAGATTCAATTTTATTATTTCAGCATACTACAGTATCATAGTATAAAAGTCATATTTATTTGTGAGTATATATAATTAACATATTTTTATTTCAGTTTAATGTTGGATATCAAATTAGGCCAATTTCATATGCATAGATAAATTACAAAGTGAAATGTTAATATTTTGTATCATAGATTATGAATCCAAGGCAATTTATTAATCACAGATATGTAGATAAGTCATTTTTTCTAAAATCATATACTCAGAGGCCCATTTATTGAAGAAAACAAGATATAATAAAAAATGAATGTGGATTTGACCCAATAATCAAACATTCATGAATAACTGACAAACCTACCTTTTAAATCTGGCATATGTTGGCTGACATGACTATTGCAATGCTGAATTATGAGAGCATGTCTTTAAGAAAGTATTTCTAAGAATTGCTTAAAGCGTCACACTAAATATATAGAATTTAAGTTAGGATGAGCAAATGCCTCTTTATTATTATTACTAGAGGCCCGGTGCACAAAAGTCATGCAATTGGGGGGGTCCTCCCAGCCTGTCCTGTGCCCTGTCACAGTGCAGGATCCCCGCGATTGATTGCTCCAAAGAGGTAGGCCAGAGCCGGGGGCCCACTTACATGCCGTGTGGAGCTGGGAGGCAAAACCCCCAAGACTCCCAGGCAGGCCTCGCCGGACCCCCAGGCAGGCCTTGCCACACAGAGCCAGGGGACCCCCAGGCAGGCCTTGCTGGACCCCCAGGCAGGCCTCACCTCGTGGAGCCGGGGGACCCACCTACTCCTGTGCAGAGATGGGAGGAGGCAGGACTCCCAGGCAGGCTCTGTGCCACGCACACAGCATCAAGCCAGCCCCGCCCACCTGCGCGTGACTGCTGTGCGTGCAGCCATCTTGTGACGGCATGAGGGCATCACGGTGTGACGACCACTTAGGCTTTTATTAGTAAGGATTGTTACTTAATAATCATGGCTGTAATTTTTTATGTGTTTACTTCCAGGCATTTTGCTAAGAATTTAAAAAACATTTCTTCAAGTCCTCTTTGTACAACTCTAGAAGTTTAGTACTACTATTATGTTATTTATAAGTAGGAAACTAGGGCTTAGTTATATTGAGCAATTTGCCCAAAGGCACAAGGTTTAGTCATATGTTATAGAGTAGGTCATAAATCTGAATCTTTAAGAATAAAAATTTCATAATTTCCCTGCTCATTTAAACAATTAAAAAATTAATTTAAAATAATCTGAAGTTCTCAGAAGAATTTAAAGAATAATACAAAATACTCTTATTTATCTTACATCCAGTTCAATTTTTTGCCATACTTTAGTTCTTTTTCTGGATATTTCTCCTGTTTTGTTTTGTTTTGAATTTGGGACCTGTTTCTTTGTCTCCACATTTTGGCTGCTTACCTATGTCTGTTTCTATGTATTAAATAGAGCTGCTATGTTGCCTTGTATAGTAGGTGTCCTGTAGGGTCCAGTAAAATAGACTTTTTAGTGTTGTAGGCAAAACTAGTTCCCCATGTAAACATTCCAAACTGCTCTAGGACAGCGGTTCTCAACCTGTGGGTCCAGACCCCTTTGGGGCTCGTTTTGTTCGTTTTTTAGGTGAATGAACCATTAGTTTATCTAGAACAGCGATTCTCAACCTGTGGGTCGCGACCCCTTTGGCGGTCAAATGACCCTTTCACAGGGGTCGCCTAAGACCATACTGCATATCAGATATTTACATTATGATTCATAACAGTAGTAACATTACAGTTATGAAGTAGCAACGAAAATAATTTTATGGTTGGGTCACAACATGAGGAACTGTATTTAAAGGGCCAGAAGGTTGAGAACCACTGATCTAGAAGGTATACAGAAGACTCTTCAGCTTTCCTTTTCTTATTACTTTAATATATAGTTTTATCAATACAGTCATTTTTATATCTCCTGGAAAGAAAACACTTGGGCTGAATTTTGCTATTGTCAACTTAAATTGGAAGGTACATTTTCCAGAATTACCCTCCCTGTAAGGTTTAGGATTAGAGTTGGCCAACAGAGGAAATCATATGAGATTTGGAGGTGGAGGGAAATTATGGGTCATCTGGAGTGACATGCAGACAAAGAGGTGCCCAGTAGTCCCTCATACTTCTTTGCTGTACCTTTAGCTCATCTTTGGGACTGATGCCCTGCTGACTACCACGGTCCCAGGTCCGGCCAGAGATGCTTGCCTGTGGAGCCACAGCGGTGGCGGCTGCACATAGGAAATAGCTTCCCAGATATTTTTCAATGAATATTCCTTTGCAGTCCCCTTTTGAAGGCTCGATGTGCTAGGCTCCTCAGATTCCCCGGTAAGTTCTGACTTATTCATACATGGCAGGGCTTCAGTAGAAATAAATATTGATTCTTTCTCTGGTCTTATGACTTCCTCCTTCCAAATCTTCATTTCCCAAGCTTCTACCACATGTTGTAGAAGGGCTAATCCATACGATAAATTCTCCATTCACCTAATGCTCTATGTACCACTGCCTCCCTGGGTGAACCCTGACTCATACAACTCCAAACTAATCCCACTTTCAAGGAAACAGACATTTGTTGGGCACCTATCTTGACGCAGGGGCTGGCTTAAGCACTGATGATAAACATATCTTTAAGATTACCAGAAATAATTTAAGTCATAATTAAATTGTAACTACACTTTTAAATAGATGACTTCAATCCAAAATTCATTGCGGAATTCAAAGACATTGATGATGCAAACATCCAAACCTTATCCAATCCTGATGAGTATAAAGACGTTTCTCTGCTCCTAGCAACACCCCTAGCACTGAGTCTGCTTTCCAAGTCCACTGGCCTATAGCTTTGGGGAGTACAAATTGTGGTGACCGTAAGTCTGAGCCAGCTTTTACTGGTAGAACAACTCTCACTATTTTATCTGCATCTGTTATGAAGAAAAATATATTACCATGGCTCTCTTAAACCCAGACCAGACATTTGAACTGTCATTTTCACCTCTGATTTCCATCAAGGTTCACAAAGCTTTTAGAGGCACTCAGTAATGTATCCTGTATATCAAGATCCACAAAAGGCAACGTTTCTGTTCTACAGGGGTGAGAGGCAGAGCGCTGGACTCTTTGTAGTCCATGACCGGGGAGTTCAAAAGCACCAACAAAGGACTTTTATGCAGCCAAGGACTTTTTTCTATGACTTTTATTCTGAGCAAAATGTATTCAGCCAAGAAAGAATGGGAAATAGTGGTCTTAAAATAATTTCTGCAGCAGAAACTGGATTTCAAATGATATAATGAACTAATGTGCAGTAAAGGGATGGAAATAATTAGCTCAGACAAGGCATTTGATAGCGTTAGCAGAAAAATAATTGATCTATATTTTATGTGATTCTTTTTTAAAAAAGGACTATATGGATAAATTACTAAAGTCTTTGATAGTTATACCCCCAAATATACATACATAATAAATAGCGGCATACAATCTTCTGATAAATTATATGTATTTGATTAGAACTCAGTATTTGCTCTTTTTATGAGCCCAAGACTGTGCTCTTTTTCAGAAGTGAAATTTCTATTTTCCATTTAAATATGCAATCTTCGTACATACATCTTATTTATCCATTAGTTACTTATTACTTGTATATTTTCACAGAGATGTTGAAAAAAAGTTTCTGAATATAAACACAATGAAATTGTATCATGCATGAACATTGGAAGAACTACATTAGGTCCAACCTGAAAAACATGTTTATCTACATTGTCAAAAAGTTGGACCTGTTCTTTGGACACTCATCTTACATATTTCAGGTCCTTTATTTAGTTGTTGTATGGAATTGTGTTGATTTATCCACACTTTAAATTAGGAATGAAGTTAATGGTTAGGGAATTTTTATTTCCTTAGCCCAAAGGTGACTCACATACAGAGAACAGAAACCATAGTTCATATTTCTGTCCCATTTCAGACTATTTCCTGAGGCTCCCTCATGTCCTGGTGGCATGGCCAATAGCTTTGGACTACCACTTCTGCTTCAAACAGAATGTAATTTTTAACCTAAAGACTTCACACTATTAAGTGATTGGTTTCACTACACTAAATCCTGGAAGTTTTCAATTTCTACTGCCTCGAGCTTTGCCCCAATTTTAGTATCCATTGGCTCTAGTGCCCTAAATGCAGTTTCTTTGGGACTTCATGACCTCTCTCTCTTAGACTTTCTTAATCTTAGTGTCCAAATCTTGTTCTGATGTATGCCCCTGTGCTTACTAGTAAATCACTATCAGCTACCCTGAGTTGCAGAGTTGGAAAAAATAACGTTCCATTCAAGTTCATTTTCTCCACAGGAATTTATCCTTTGCTGTCCTCAACGTGACCTAAGTTTACTGTTTCAATCTTCCAACCAAGTACTGATATTATAAAATGTTTACATAGATATTGAAAGGTACTTAGTGAAGCATACTGTATATTAAGATACATATCATTATTATCCACATTGTCATCTTTAATAATAGTTATGCCTATTATTACTTCAATTTTTAAGGCATAACTATAAGCCAGGACTGTGGTAGTGAGGACTGAGTAATGTGGTGCAACCCCCAGAGCTGTGTAGTACCTCCACATAGCAGCCATAGTACTAGCTAGGTACTTTAAATACAATCCCTTATTTTATCTTGACAATAACAATGCAGGTTAGTTGTATTACTCTCATTTGATAAAGGGTGGATCTAATGATCAATAAAATTTAGCTATATGCTCAAAGTTATACAACTAATAAGCGTAAAATGAAATTTA